GTAACTGCGTGATTTTTCCCTATTACAAAAAAAATGTAACTGTGACGCACAGGAAGTGACATCATTTGAACGCTTTCTTCAACGTGATGACAAGAGAAGCAAGTCTTCTTATTCCATTTTCTCATTTTTTTCACAAATTGTAGTGTTGATGGCATTTTTCAAGTGTAACTATTCAACCCTGTTACTGTAAAAAAAAAATGTAAATAGATAAACAAATCATTTTCTTTAATTTATGATAAATATTAAATCATCTAAATTATTTAATATTAAATTAAACTTTAAATATGTTGATATAAGATACTCTCAAGATCCTCACCGCCTTGCAGGGTCCATTCTGTGACTTTGGGGCTGTAGACACCCTGGCCCGCCCCGTTATAAGCAGCCACCTCAATCTCATAGTTGGTCCAAATGATGAGGTCCTCCAGCAGGAGATTTGTTTGGTCTGGGTTGGTGATGTTTTTCATCTGACAGTCCACTGGTAATCCAGACAGACAGTACCTGAGCGACATGGTGGGAACAGTATGAGACAAGGGAAAAGCATCAGCCCCGTGGCTTTTGAGACTCAAAAATAGGAGTTCTCGCTGAGAGGACACTATTGGCTCCAAAGGGACGTGAAGCAGAAGAGGGCCAGTGTACTCTAGAAAATGAAGTGCTGCTGAGAGCAGCTTGATTGTGTGAAGGACAGTCCCAGAGATCTCTCACCTGATGATATAGCCTTGAAGCGGCCCGTTTTGGTGGCTCTCGGGGGGAGGTTGCCACTGGATCATGATGGACTGGTTGGTTCGGCCACTGGCTATCACTGTCTGAGGAGGGGCACTGGGGGGCTCCTCAGGTAATGATACTCTAAAAACAGGGAATTAGGAGAAAGAACAAAAGAGATTAAAAGAGAAAGTGGAATGGCCATTTGAAGCAGATTTAAGTCTGTTCGCTCTCTCTACCCAATCTTTTCCCTGTTTTAGTCTACCATTTAAAACAGAGGGAAAAATCTAAAATATATAATTTAAAAGAAAGACAGTAGGATATCTGGAAGATTAATATTACATAGAGCGAGGTCTAGATCTCTCAAACCATACTGAAATTGTGGGATTTAATTTTTTTAATATATATATATTCCATTGATATATATACACACACACACACACACACACATGTCTGGTCAGCTATCCTTG